CAGCCTCAGTTTAATTCATGTTTCATACATATCTTCATCGTTCAAGACCATCTCCAAGTACGGACAATACTTGGGTCTTTGCTACTCAAGGCAATTAAAAAATAAATAAATAAAGTGGTGAAGTTGTTGTCAACTCAACAACTTACTCTGGTCTTTTAGAGTTGCCAGCAGAAAGGGAGTGGGGGAAGTTGTACATTCCTTAAATGCTTCACAGATAATTGCTTCCAGAGCGCAAGATTATTACTGGAGAGCATGATTGATGACTCTTGGCTATGGATGTGTCCCATTGGAGAATACACATCCAGGGGGTGAGGGAAGACCAGGGTCAAGGGGGAAATGAACGATGTGTCTTAGAATCGGCTGCACCCAGGTAGCGCCAGCATGTTCACTCCTAATAAATCTTTTTTTTTTTAAAACATTCTGAGAGATACGGCTAGAGACTTGTGATTTGAATGGGGTGGACGCCAGAGCCCTGACAGTTGTGCTGTTTCAGAATGTAAGCAGACCATGCCTTTATATAGCTATAAATCCATCTCTTTATTAAATCTGAGACCTAGGAAGAGGCATGCTAGAAGAGAAAGCTTAACCCCAACCAGCAATCTCTCCGGGATATTAAATTTTGCATAGGTCGACAATTTTCAGCTTGGTCATCTCAAAGATCACAAGACCCACAACTATCCCTTGCCAACATACAACAAAACCCTCCATTCAAGAGTTGAACACTAACCTGGCAGAGAAACCCAAAGGTGCTTTTTTTTCAAGAGGCAGCTGGACTGTCTGGGTTTTCTTTGAAGACATTTCGCTTCTCATCCAAGAAGCTTCTTCAGCTCTGAGAGAAGCAGAAGAAGCTTCTGAGAGAAGCTGAGGAAGCTTCTTGGATGAGGTGAAATGTCTTCAAAGAAAAAAACCAGAAAGACCAGTTGCCTCTAGAAAAAGCATGGGACAACCATGAACTGGATGATTGACCATCTCCATAGATGTGTTCTTCGTGTAGAATCTTCTCTTCCTTACAGATGCCGAGCGCAGAAAAACATTTTCCTGGCCTGCCAGTAGCTATTAACAGATTAACAGAGTTGGAGGGGGCCTTGTAGGTCATCTAGTCCAACCCCCCGCCCAAGCGGGAGACCCTACACCATTTCTGACAAACGGCAATGCAATCTCTTCTTGAAAGTTTCCAGTGAAGAAGCTCCCGCAGCATCTGAAGGTAACTTCTGTGCTACTGGTTGATGGTTTCTCTTTGTCATGACATTCCTTCTGATTTTCAGGTTCAATCTCTCCTTGTTCAGTTTCCATTCATTATTTCTTGTCTGGTCTTGGAAAATAGTTTGACTCCCTCCTCTTTGTGGCAGCCTCTCAAATATTGGAAGACTGCTCTCCTGTCTCCCCTGGTCCTTCTCTTCCCTAGACTAGCCAGGCCCGGTTCCTGCAACCGTTCATTGTATGTTTAAGCCTCCAGTCCCCTAATTATCCTGGTTGCTCTTCTCTGTAGTTTTTCTAGAGTCTCAACATCTTTTTTATAGTGTGGAGACCAAAACTGGATGCAGTATTATTCTAGCTATGGTCTTACTAAGGCTTTATAGAGTGGGATTAGTACCTCCCTTGATCTTGATTAATGCAGTTTAGGATCACATTGGCTTTTTTGGCTGCCGCTGCATACTACTGACTCATATTTAATTGGTTGTCCACCAAGATACTAAGATCCCTCTCACAGTTCCTGCTATATACCATAGATATTTGCTCTTTCCAAAGAGAAGACAGGTCACTTTCACCGGTCATCCGACAATGAGTTATCATTTGTTCTGCAGATAATGACCTTCTGGGAAGATAACCCAGTAATTGTTTCACTAAGAGTTCAAAGCATTCTGACCTTCTGGCTCATCTGAAGATGTTCTATCCCCTGCTGGGATGAATCACCAGAGCAATTTCTCAGGAAGGATGCCGAGCCTTACCTGGGTGTTGCCACCTGTCGCAAGCCGTAAGGAGACCTTGTCTGATGGCCCCAATGATAAGGATTGCCATGTCGGAGTGCTGGCATCGGTGTGTCGTATGGATGATGTAGCTGTAGAAAACAAATTTGGGAAGAGGTGAAGGAAGAGAAAAGGAAAATTTTGCTGGGGATTGACCAAGTAAATATTATGGATTGATGCAGTAAAGTTACAGAATAACAGAGTTGGAAGGGACCTTGGAGGTCTTCTAGTCCAACCCCCTGCCTAGGCAGGAAACCCTACACCACTTCAGACAAATGGTTGTCCAATCTCTTCTTAGAAGCTCCCAGTGTTGGAGCACCCACAACTTCTGGAGGCCAGCTGTTCCACTGACTAATTGTTCTTACTTTCAGGAAATTTCTCCTTAGTTCTAAGTTGCTTCTCTCCTTGATGAGTTTCCACCCATTGCTTCTTGCCCTGCCCTCAGGTGCTTTGGAGAATAGCTTGACTCCCTCTTCTTTGGGGCAGCCCCTGAGATACTGGAAGACTGCTGTCATGTCTTCCCTAGTCCTTCTTTTCATCAGACTAGACAAACCCAATTCCTGCAAACATTCTTCATGGGTTTTTTTTTTAGCCTCCAGCCCCCTAATCATCCTTGTTGCTCTTCTTTGCACTTTTTCCAGAATCTCAACATCTTTTTTATATTGTGACAATCAAAACTAGATGCAGGATTCCATGTGTGGCCTTACCAAGGCATTATAAAATGGGATTAACCCAGTTCCAGCAACCATTCTTCATATGTTTTAGCCTCCAGTCCCCTAATCATCTTGGTTGCTCTTCTCTGCACTCTTTCCAGAATCTCAACGTCCTTTTTACATTGTGGCAACCAAAGTTTTGGTCACCACACTATAAAAAAAGATGTTGAGACTCTAGAAAGAGTACAGAGAAGAGCAACCAAGGTGATTAGGGGACTGGAAGCTAAATCATACGAAGAACAGAGCATTAAATTAAATTAAACAGGGGTTGTGGTGTGTCCGATGTGACCTCCTTACATGCAGAGTCGGAGAGCGCTGTGTGCGAAGACCGGCGGGAGCTGTGAGAAGACATGGATACCCCTTCATGACTGACTTCTTGGTTAGCGGGCACGCAGTGTCGGGTGTTGATATAATCCCTTTGACTCTGGAAAGGAAGAAAGTGGACGGTCATATCCTTAGGAAAAGAAAACCAACCGGAAGATTAAAAAGAAAAATAAACACATCCACTGTAGAAAAGTATTTTACTTCCAGATGTCAACCCTGAAGTTGGCCTGGCCAAAGCCATCTTGGAGCTTCAATGTTGCCTCACTGGAGCTGAGGGATCGGGAGGGAGGAGTAGAGATACCTGGGGGGGGGGGTGTAGTCAAAATAAAATACTTTCTCACACCTGGTCGGAGGAAGGTGGAGAGATGTCAATAGACCAGAGGTGGGATTCAAACATCCCAGCAACCGATTCGCTGCCCAGTTGCTAGGTGGGCGTGGCCTACCGGAACTTCTGGGATGGCCGTTTTTCACCTTCCCAAGAGTCCGGAGGCTTTCCTCAGGCCTCTGGGGGGGCGAAAACTGCCTCCCCCGGCCTCCGGAGGGCCTCTAGAGGCCTGAAACAGGCCCATTTCTGGACTTCCAGAACTTACCCTCCCAGAGCCTCCACACGGACCCTGCACTTACCTGCATCCAAAACGGGTCGTGTGGAGACTCCTGGGATGGAAGGGGAAGGGTGGGCGGTTCAACTACCAGTTTGGCAAACCAGGTGTAAATTTAACATCGGGTTTGCCCAAACCGGTCCAAACCGGTAGAATCCCACCCCTGCACCACACCATTAGACAGTGGCTAGATTGGACCATGTGACTGATGGGTTGGAGGTTGAGAGCAAAACTTTTAATTAGGTGAAAACCGCAGGAATCTTCAGAGTCGGTTTTTACCAGATCTGTGCCAATAAAGATGTTCTTTGAGGAATCTACTGGCCTTGGAGTTTTGCTTGATATGGATCTATCACGAGGACACCCTGACACCAGAAAGTGACTTCCAAGATACTGAGAATCCTATAGGAAGGTTTTTTTCCATTTTAAGTCGTCTTGTGGACTTTCTGTTAATCAAATTTGACACTTTTTTTTAAAAAAAAAAATTCTTTTACACTTAAAAAAAAAAACAAAATTGATCATGACATTAACAGCACTGTAACATTAATATACATATCCATCTCTTGTAAATATTAACCTTAATATACAATACTATGCTACATTTATCTATAGTTTTCTTATCTTAACTTTATTTCCTATTTTCCAGCCAATTATACACATATATCCCAAATTTAATGATATTCCGACTCTTCTTTATCTTTTAATTTTAGAGTCAATCTATCCATTTCAGTACAGTCCAAGATTTTTTGAATTACCAATCCCTCAGAGTGAATATGTTATTGCATATGTTATTCTTGCCACAGTTAATAAGTGTAATAAAATATATTTCATCTTTTTCTTATATTTCTTTTTAAATATTCCTAACATGAATAGGTCAGGTTCAAATTCTATTTGTTCTTTTACCATTTCTTGTAACCAATGCCTAATTTTAGTCCAGTAATTTGGGCTGTGGGGCAGGACCACCACATGTGGTAGAAAGTGTCTTGAGCCTTTTTACACTTCTTAATGAGTTATTTTCAGAAGAGAACATCCTGTTCAGTACATATGGAGAAGACTTTAGATGGAGAAGGATGCAAAAGGTGACTGGACTTTCTTTGTTTTTATTTGAAGACGTTTCATTTCTCATCCAAGAAGCTTCTTCAGAATTTGAGAAGCTTCTTGGATGAGAAGCAAAATGTTTTCAAGGAAAAACCAAGAAACTTCAGTTGACTTTTGAAAAAGCACCTTTGGAACAACCATGACCTGGATGACTGACAGTCTCCATAGACAACTAGAAGAGGACCATTCATTCTTCTAGAGCCCTTCTGTGTGATTCTTTATGATGATGGCCAACTGGAGTGAAGCTTGCAGTAGCATTCAGACAGTGTCTCTTTATTGAACTGTTGACCAAGTCAACATGCCATGGGCATTACTGAAAACCTTCTCACAATTCCAGTCTACGTTTGTTCAGTTCTGGCACTGAAAAAACTTCACTCACCAAAGCTCTGTTGGCAGCGATCTAAAACTGACACCAGTATCCAGAATCGTAACCAACTTGGGTTGAGTGCCCTTCAAGCCTCACAAATATTTAAATAACCTAAACAAACAAACTTTCTGGAACTCAAAGGCCAGGAATAATTCAACTGGCAAATCGAATTGCCAATAGATAGATGATAGATAGATAGGCTTATCTGGGCATCTCCTTTCATTTTCTCCGCATAACAACAACTACTCCAGTGAGATAGTCCAACAATTTAACCACTTCAGCACATTGGCTCTTAGAGGCAGGAAACAGCCCTTCGGGGGCCCTTAGCTTTCCTCCATCACATGATTTTTTTAAAAAAGAGCTTTGTGGATAGGTAGCTAACAGTCAGTCAGACAGACAGACAGAAGATAGAAAATAGATACAGAAGATAGAAAATAGACAAGATAGAAGCTAGAAAATAGGCAAGAAAAAGATGGAAAGATAGAAGCTAGAAAATAGACAAGATAGAAGATGGAAAAATGGAAAATTGAAGATAGACAAGATAGACAGAAGTTAGAAAATGGACAAGATAGAAGATAGAGATGGAGGGAGGGAGGGAGGGAGAGAGAGAGAGAGAGAGAGAGAGGGAGGGAGAGAGACGCCTGTGCTCCAGAAAGATCTTCACTCATGTGATGGCTTCCTTTAAATTTTCTTCACCCGGGCAGGGAAAATAGGCCACTTGGATTTCATGCCCAAGGTTTAGAGATCAATTAAAGAAAGCTCCTTCGGAGTGACGTTGGCCTCTTGTTATTGAAACCCTGGCATTGACTAAGTTGACCCAATTAAATTCAGCCAGCACAATGAGGCCAAATTGATTATTTTAAAAGGCAATGAAAAATGCGATTAGGGAGATGATCTGCCAAAGCTCAGGAGCCTAACCCTGTTTTCAGAGAGGGAGGGGGGAAAAAAACCAGCCAACAGATCCATCATGTGGTCCTTCATTTTCCATCTTTGCATTGTGGGCAGTTGGTGAATCAGCACAAAGGCTGTGCACACAGGCTATGCTAGGCGTGACTCAGCAATAGGAAAATTGCTTAATAGATATAAGAGTTCAACAGCTCAGCACATCTGGAAAGATGACAAGCTGTAGGAATCTGAAGGTCTTGGCTTGACTCCTAGAAGTCCAATAAAGGAGAATTGTTTGTAGCTCAGGGGTCCTTGGTTGTTTTCTTGCTGGCATTTCACTACCCAACTAGGTTGCATGATCAGTGCTAGAAGAGAGTGGGATTTGTGGAGGGGAGGAGGAAGAAGAGGAGGAGGAGGAGAAGGAGAAGGAGGAGGAGAAGGAGAAGGAGGAGGAGGAGGAGGAGGAGGAGGAGGAGGACAATGACTATGGGGTCCTTGGTGCTCTCCGAGCTTGGTTGGTTTTTTTGCAGATGTTTCACTACCCAACTAGGTTACATGATCAGTGCTAGAAGAGAATGGGATTTGTGGAGAGGAGGAGGAGGAGGAGGAGAACTATGGGATTAACCCTTGATGCTCTCTGAGCTTGGTTGTTTTCTTGCAGACATTTCATTAAACAAGGTAACTGATGCTGTACCATTGATGATGTTACCTAGTTTCGGTAATGAAGCGTCTTCAACACAACAACCAAGGGAGCACCAAGGATCCCTCCTAGAACTTCACATCCAAAAGATGCTAAAAATCATATTAAATAATAATGATGATGATGATGATGATAACAATAATAATAACAAAAATAACAATAAAAATAACAATAACTAACAATAACAATGACTAACAAAAACAACAAAAACAACAACAACAACAACAACAACAACAACAACAACAACAACAACAATAATAATAATAATAATAATAATAATAATAATAATAATAATAATAA